AGTAGGCGTGGCCATCTTGGAGGAGGTGTGTCACTGGGGGTGGGCTTTGAGGTCTCAGGAGCCTACGACATTCCCACTTAGCTGTGTACTTTCTCTTTGTCTTGTGCTTGTGGATGAGATGTGAGCTCACTCCTACTCCAATGCGTTGCCTGCCCACCTGTCGGCTCACCTGCGCAACCCGCCTACCTGCTGCTGTCATGCTCCCCACCGTGATGGTCATGGACTCTAATCCTCTGGAACGCTACGCCCCCAATAAACTCTTCCCTCTATAAGTCGTCTTGATCACAGTGTTTTGTAACAGCGATTGAAAAGTGACTAAGACATCATCCTTTATTGCCTGCATTACAAAAACAAAGCCACCGTTTTAAAATAGTTCTGGTTTGCTGTGGGCAGCAGAAGGACCCTGGAGGGGACTCTGCAAGGAGGAACAGGACACGTCTTCCTTGTCTCTCTTCCTAGAAACTCCTTAACCATGCATGCCTTAGTTTCCTGCTCTGTAAGGTGGGTGTGCTGACTCCCCACCAGGACCCAGGGGCTGCTGGATTGGGTAGGTCTCAGACTGGTCTCAGTTGCTCCCTTCATCTATGTGAATAGGAGATGGTATACAGCTGTCTGCCTGACCCTTGCTCAGTCTGCCATCTCCTCTCCTCCTCCTCCTGACTAAACTAGGACCATTCCCTTGGGGGCTTAGTCATCCTTTGATCCACAAAGGCAGTCCAGAAGAGCCTGAGTTGAACAAGCCTAGGTGGGGACAGAAGCGTCTTCGTCCGTGATATTTGCCTTGCTTCACCCCTACTGTATAAATCTGTGTCTTGGTCTAGATGGTCACCACTCCATCTCGACCATATGTCTCCATAGTACTCAGTGTGGCACCTGGGTCCATGGGGGAATTGTTTGATAAACAAGAAAGAGGAGGAAGGGAGGGAAGAGTGAGGACTGGCAAAAGAAAGCTAGGCATGTGGCTCTGTCAGCAGAGTGCTTGCCAGGCACACATGAAGCCCTGGCATCTACCCTGGCACCACAGAAACCAGGCATAGCAATGCATGCTTGTAATTCCTGCACAGGGCAGGTGAAAGCAAGAAAATCAAGAGTTCAAGGTCATCCATGGCTACATATCAACTCAGAGACTAGCCTGGGCAGTATGACACTCTGTCTCAAAAGAGAGGAGGGACAGATGAAAAGAGATCCATATACACCTAAAGTGCATGGAGCACACAAACAACCAGAATAATGTGAGGTATCAGAAACAGGATAAAGCATGGTTGTGATGGGGTGGGATGGAATGGGGATGTATGGAGCAAAGAACATGAAATAGCAGATACAAAGAGTGAGTAAGGCTCAGAGAGCCCATCCACAGCAGGGTAACTGTGGCTAACAATGTGATATTATACTCAGAACTGCTCTCTTTTTACAGTCTCAACACACACAGAAAAGGTAGCTGGTTGATTCACTCCTGTTGTCTCTGCCTGACCCTCAACTGCTCTCTCTCTAGCACTCTGAACCCTTCATTCTTATACTTCTACTCTTCTGGTTAACCCTTTCCTGAATGACTTGCAGGAGAGCCAAGGCCCTCCTTCACCTGCCTGATAACTGCCCTTGAGCCACAGGCAAGGACCAGATCACCCACCTGGGATGAGACTACCTGGAGGTTAGAAGAGGAGGAAGGGAGGAAGAGGAACATGATAGCAGAGGAAGGGAGATAAAAAAGAGCAGAAGTAGGAGAGAGGATGACTGTGGGAAGAGGGGGAGAGAGAAGGAAAGAAGGGGGAAGGTGAGAGGAGGAAGGTGAGGAAGGGAAAGAGGGGAAAAGGGAAAGGAAATGGGGAAAGGGAAGAAAAGGCCAAAGAGAGGAGGAAAGAAGAGAAATGGGAGAAGAGGGGAGAGGAAGAGGAGAAAGAAGGAGAGAGAAAGGGGAAGGCCTGGAGAGGGGTAGGGGCTCCTGTGCCCAGCCACAGGGAGAGCTGGGCTATAGGTCTCTGCCTCTGGAGTCTGAGGTGGAGATGGTGTCTTGCTCCTCTGCAGGTCTGTTGGGGATAGAGGAGACTGGCATGCACCATGATCCATCTGCAGTTCCCTTGTGGACTTTCTTCTTTCTCTCTCTGTGGCCCTGGGCTGCCTTTCCTTGGTGTTGGAATTCCAGTTCCTGTTCTGAGAGTCCTGCTGGCTTCTTTAATCCTTGGCCATAGGTAAAAGGTGGTTTGTCATAAAAATGACTTACCTTTTTGTCATTTATTTATTTATTTATTTATTTATTTAGACAGGGGCAAATATAGCCCAAGCTGACCTCCAACTCACTATGTAGCTTGAATTCCCAGTGCTGGCATGCATGTGATGTGAACAACACCCCACTTGTATGGTGCTGGGGATCAAACCCAGAGTTTTATGCATGCTAGGCAAGCACTCCACCAACTGAGCCACACTGTCAGACCCTTTATCCTAACTTCTGTGCTGAAACCCAAGCCCTTACCACCTTAGACGACAATTACATTTGGCGACAAGACTTTACTGAGGTAATCAAGTTAAGGTGAGTTCACATGGATGACTTAGACTCCAATATGGACTATGACAAGAAATTAGGGTGGAAATGGCCAGGAACAAATGTTATCCTACCTACTAGGAGGCTTAAGTAGGAGGATCTCAAAGTTCAAGGTCACCCTGGGTGACTTAGTGAGACCCTGTCTCAAAAACAAAAACAAATAACAATGTAAAAGAGGACTGGACATATACGAGTGTGGTAGAGTTCTACAATCCCCCAGTGAGGGGCTGGGGTGTGCTCAGAGGTAGAGCCCCTCCTAAAATCCCTAATTAAGGAGCTGGGACGTGGCTCAATGGTAGAGCCCCTTCCTACAATCCCCAGTGGAGGGGTTGGACCATGGCTCAGCTGTGGAGCTCTTTCCTGGTATCCGAATGAACAAGGCCTGGATCCCAAACCTGGAACAACAGAAAACACACAAATGTAAGAGGAAGAAGAGGAGGGGGCGGTGATGACCCAATGCATCCAGAGAACTTCCTGGGAGGACACAGAAAGGAGACCACCAGCCATCTCCAGGTAAAGAAGAGCGCTCGGGAGAAGCGAGCCATCTGGACACCCTATCTTGTGTCTTTAGCCTCCAGAATTAGGGAGGGAAATATCCGAGGTTTGAAGGCACCCAACCTGTCGCACGTTTTCACGGCAAACCCAGGTGACTTCCAAAGCACTTACACTGGAATTGACTCTCCTCAACAGGCACCTCCTGCCAGTGTCTGAAAGGTCTCCACTGTGGGCCGTGGTGGGCCTGAAGCTCCACAGGGTCCTTACCACAGTCACTGGGGGGGCTCTGCTGTTCCATGGGACCTCGGCGTGAACAAACCCAGACCCACTCCAGTTAAGACCCTCCCCCTCCATTCTGGTCAAGCTGGGGCAGAGCTGAAGCTCTGGGGCTGCAAGCACCTTCTGGGGGTTGTGCCTAGAAGGGCCGAGAGGCCTGGCTTGTATCCCTTCCACTTACCCCCAGACAAGGCGAGTCAGCGTGCAGCTTCAGACTTCAGCCATTTTGGCTTCTCCTGAAACTGGTTTCTTGAGGGTCGGGGCTTCTGTGTTCTTGCAAGTCTGATTTTCCTCCCACCAGTCAAGCACCTTCATTCTGAGACAATAAACCCTGTGGTGAATGCTGCATTTACTCCCCACCCAGACTTCAGTGCTGGATTCCCCTACTCCCTGCTGTCTCACCCAAACCAGCTCCGGGCTGCCTCCAGAATGCCAGGCTGTCTCCAAGCCAAACGCTGGTTCTGTGAATAGCTCACTTACCCGAATGAAATTAAACGTACTCTCTAGGTCTCTCTCTCTCCCCAGCCTCTTTACTGGCCTCCTGATCTCTAGGCTATCACCTTCCAAGCCCTATAAACTCTCTCTTGGTCACAAGACCTGAGGTTCCCCATTAACTCCAGGATAAAGTCCCAGCCCTTCATGACCCCCATGACGGCACCTTCTCTCTGATTCTCTTGTAACCTTGTAATCAATATCTCTCTCTCTCTACACCACACACACACACACACACACACACACACACACACACATCCCTTTTTTGTGTGGGTACAAGTTTATTTTGCACATTTTTTCTACTCTTGACATTTTGGCACATATATGTTCATCAGAACACAAGGAACTCTCAGGTTTTTGGTGGCACTCTAATATTCTAGTCAATGGACATAACACAGGTTACATGAAGTCACCCGCTTCTCTCGCTCTAGCAACAGCAAGGGGCCGTTGGATCACTTCATAGCTGTCTGTGGGCTTTGCCCTACCATTCACTTCACCTCACCCCAAAAGGCAGAGCCAGGTTTTTATAGCTGTTCGTCAGCCTCTACCCTTTCCAGATGAATAGCTTTCTTTGGCTTCTGTGTAAATTGAGAGAGTAAGATCCAAATTTTCATTTCCTGTCTAAAAACTCTCATTCTACAAAAATGACTGAAAATGGCTTTGAAATCATTGCCAGAAAACAGAAAGAAGCTGTAAGGAAGCCATGCTCTGCAAAAGCCTAGGTGTACCTTCAGCTTGCGGAGTTGAGGGAGACCTCAACAACTCAGTGAATTTCATAAAATTACATTTTCTTTACTTATTGTGTGTGGGGGTTGTTGTGTAAACATGAGTGTGGAGCTCAGAGGACAACTTGCAGGAGCTGGTTCTCTTCTCCCACCATGTAAGCCCTGGGAGATCAAATTCAGGTCCTCAGGGTTGGAGGCAGGTATTTTTACTCACTGAGACATTTTTCTAGCCCCATCAAGAATTTGACTTAAAGAAAGTATTTATCATGACTGCATTCAACAAGAGTGAAATGCACATTTCACTTAGGCCCATGTGGAATGTTTATTAAAAAATATTAAGTTGCTGCAAGTAAAATAAATAGGTATTATGAATAGCATATTTATTTTATGATCCTATTTAATTTGATAAAGAGGATCAGTTAGTCCTGGTGGTACAGGCCTGTTATACCAGCTGCTACAAAGGTGACAAAGTCTAAGACCAGTGTATTGAGGCTCTTTCTTAAAAGTATGAAGAGGGATGGGGGCGTAGCTCAGTGGTAGAGCACTGGCCTAGAATTCCCCAGTAAGGGGCCTGGGCACGACTCAATCATAGAATAACTGTCTGGCATGTTCAAAGGCTTACATTCAATCCTCAGTACTGAAAGACAGTGTGTGTGTGGGGGGGGAGAGAGTTATTAGAAAACATTGACATTTCTAATAAGTCAAAAATCATAATGGAAATTGGAAATGGTTCAATTAAATGATGATAACATAGTTCATAATCACATCTGTGAAATGCAATTAAATTTATGCTTAAAGGGACATGTATAACCCTAAATGCAAATAAAGAGTGGCTGGAATTTAACAATGAGTCCATTTCAACAGAAACTAAACGGGAAGAAAATGCTATGAAGAAAATGAACACCATTAGTCAGTGAGGGGTCAGTGAGATGGTCCCATGAGTGAAGGAGGCTGACTCACACGGTGGAAGGAACAAGCCAACTCTTCAAAGTCGTCCTCGGACCTCCACATGCATACTGTGCGTGGCATACAAATTTGCATGCACGTGCTCACACACATGCGTGTACACACACACACACACACACACACACGCACGCAGACAAATAAAAGAATAAATGTAATTTTAAAAATAAAGAATAAGTCAATATGGTAGGCCTTAGGAGGGATTTGGTGTTAAATTTTAACTCTGATACTCACACCAGGACAACAAGGAAGAATAAGAATAAAACAGATGCTATGGTCCCATACACAAGGCCCTGGACCAGTCCTCGCAGGAACACACTGGAAATGGAACTTTTGTCTGAAATGAAAGGGAAAAGCACATGATCGTCCTGAAGCTTTCAACTATGGTTCTCTTCCTTCTGCTCTGTGTCTGTGCTCATCCTGGTCCTCAAGTGCTGGACTTCCCACCCAGTCACACTAGAGCTCTGTCTACTAGCCTGGTATCAAGAAGATTCTGGAAGCATGGACTCCATATTGGTTCTTCCCCTCACATCGAAGACGCTTAATGACTTCTGGTTCCCACACGAGATTAATGGTGCTGTTGGTCCAGGGTTCCAGTGTGGTGGTGGTCATGTGCAGGATGCTATCAACGCTGTTCACACTCACAGGGGTTCTTCCCAACCACCACTGTACCGAGGGTGTGGGGATCCCAAAGAAGGAACAGCTACACACCAGTGTCCTCGTCAGCACACAGGAATAGTTGAGCAGCCTGGCAGGTGCTGGGGAGAAGAAAGGGCAGAGGTCTGAGAGACACCCACACTTTCCCTCAAAGGCAAAATTTATTTATGACTGTGTCCATATGTGTGTGTGCATGCGAGTGCAGTGCCAACAGAGGCCAGAGTAGGGCACCGGATCCCCTAGAACTTGGGTTACAGGTAATTTGGGGCTGCCCAGCATGGATGCTAGGAGGAACTGAACTCAGTTCTTACGCAAGAAAAGTGTGGTGGTTTGAATGAGAATGTCCTGCTGACGCTCATGTCTTTGAACACTTGGCTCCCAGTTGGTGTTGCTATTTGAGGAGGTTTCGGAGGTATGGCCTTGCTGGAAGTATGTCACTGGAGGTGGGCTTTGAGCGTTTAAAAAAACCAAACTTAGGTCATTTCCTGTTTGCCCTCTGCTTCCTGCTTGTGGTAAAGGATGTGAGCTCTCAGCATCATGCTGTAGCTGCCAGGTCTGCCATGATGGCTATCCCTCTGGAACCACATTAAGCAAACTCTTTTTTTCTGTGTTTCCTTTATCATGGTGTTTCATCACAGCAACAGAAAAGTAACAAATTACATGTAATGAGCTCTCTCCACTGTTTAAACCATCTCTATGGCCCCCAAAACTTCTTATTTGTTTCCCAAAGATATTTGGAGGCTTTGAGACCCAGAGAGGTTCTCTTTCATCTTTTCTCATCATGTGCACCAGACTCGGACTTCACTCTTGCCTGAGGTCTCTCAGCCCCAGGGGATCCCTTCAGGGCCCAGGTCTTTCTCTGGGACCCCATTTCCCCCAGACTCTAGACCCTAAGAGTGCCCACCAGCACTCACAGACCAGCTGTAGCTTGAGCACTTTGCTGCGGAACAGGTTGTCTAGGGGTAGGTTTACGTGGCATCTGAGAGTGGTGCCCTGGTCCCCGGGCTGTGAGGCAACAGCCTGCTCTGAAGAGGAGTTAATGAAGAGGATTGTGTTGGAAGACACAGTGGGGCCTTTCCAGGAGAGAAAGGGGGCTTTGGGCTCCTGGCAGGTGTCTTGGATGGCACAGGTCAAAGTCACAGGCCCTCCGGTCACACTGCTTTCTGGGTTGGGAAGCTCTGACTTTTGGGTCAGGTCTAGAGGAGAGAGAGAGAGAGAGAGAAAGTTTATGTTTAGATTTGTATTTAAGGGGCAGGCCACTGCACAGTGTGTTTGTGTGTGTGTGTGTGTGTGTGTGTGTGTGTGTGTGTGTGCATCCGTCTGTGTATGTATGTGTTTGTATGTGTGTATGTGTCTGTGTATGTATGCATCTGTCCGTGTGTCTGTGTATGTATGTGTGTGCATATGTGTGTGTATAACACCTAAGTTTTTATAAAGCCCAGTGGCTGAGGAAGTAACAGCCACCTGATCACTAACACGCCCTCTAGATTTCCTAATTTCTAAACCATTGTGTGAGCCTGAACATCACCTGACATGGAGAGCCCAGTGTCCTCCGTCAGGACAGTGTCTTTCTGCTCTCCTGGACCCACATAGAGTGAGTAGGCCATGTTTTCTCTTCTGAGTGCGCTGTGGGTCAGCAGGATGCAGTATTCCACCTCCTCCGTGGAGAGGTCACCCATGGGGGCCTTGGGCTGGCTGGTCCCAACATGGAAGCTGATATTTTCATTAAGCCTGTAGTTTGAAGTCACGGGATTTCTGGAAGATGCCTTGAAAAATTCAATCACACAAGGGACTGTACTGCATAGAGCATCTTCCACTGCCGTCTTCTTGATATCCACCAAAACCGGAGAGAGGAACCCTGTAGGGAGATACATAAAATGGAATCCAGTCTCTCAAGTTTTCAGAGTCCAGCCTGTCAGTTAAAGGTTCATGTCATTCAGGACAGGCTTGGCCTTTGCCCAGCTCTGGAAGGTCACCTCAGAGGCCCGGAAAAGTCCTTCTTGGTAAGAGAGTCTTTATAAATACTCAGCACTGGGTCACCCCAGGTATCCTAAGAGTCATGTGATGGTGGAGTCCTTGGGATACGGAGTATTGTTCATTTACAGTCTCTCTACCTGTCACACTCCCCCACATCAGGTCACACTTGGCTGACATTCCCTCTGGACAGACAGTTGATATGTGTTACAGTTTTTGTTAATTCAACAAAAGCCTAGACATGTATGGGAAGAGAAAAACTCAATTGAGGAATTGCCTCCAGCAAACTGGCCTCTGGGCAGGTTTGTGTGTGAGGGGGGGTGTCTTTTCTTGATTTATGATTCACATGGAAGGGTCTAAC